GCCCCCGTTCCTGACCCCCCCTTCCCCTGCGCCCCATGTCTGGCCAGGCTCCACTCGCAAGCTCTACGAAAAGAAAATCTTCGAGTACGAGACTCAGAGGCGAAGGCTCTCTCCCCCGAACTCGTCCACATCCTCATACTCCTATCGGCTCTCCGGTGAGGCCCCCCCCACCCCAGGGCGCCACCTGACCACCTGTGGGGACGTGTTTTGCGCTATAGGGAGGATTGGGTTGCGCGGGTGTGGCAGGGACGCTGGCCGGGAGGGGCGTGAGGAAAAGAGCTTGGGGGCAAATGGTCCTGCTCCCCCTCCCCCATTCAGACTCAGATTCGGCAGCATCGGTGGACTCGGATATGTATGATCTGCCCAAGAAAGAGGATGCCTTACTTTATCAGAGCAAGGGTAAGGAAGCAGTGGGATGGGCCCTGACATCAATTCCACTCCCTCAGGGACCCCAGTATTAGGGAGAACCTGAGACCTCAATCCCCACTGTCCCTCACCAGCCCTGGAAGGGAGCAACTATGTCACAGACCCCAAATAGGATTCAAATTAGGACCATGGGGCCAGGTGGGGGACACCACTGCCCCCTCTACTACCACTACCTCCCCTCTTTCCCAAGGCTATAATGATGACTACTATGAGGAAAGCTACATGAGCACCAGAACTTACGGTGAGCCTGATTTTGCGGGCACACCCAAGGGCTTCCGCCAGCCCTCGGCTTCACTCGCAGATGCTGACACCTTTCACCACCAGGTGAGCTAGCTGCCGGGCACCCTGTACTGAGGTACAACCTCAGGGGGTCATAGCTGGGTTTGGATAAATCCAGGGGGCCCCTGGGTGCAAATGGTAGCTTTCAAGTCTCCAGAAAGACATGGGGTCCGCGGACACCTGCCTGGTCAGGACCTTCCTTTGGGGGGCGCTGTCAGAACTGTTTGACTTAGAGCACATGGGACATGCTTTGCACCCCGGTCTGGGATCTAGATTTGAGCTCTTTCTGAGAATCCTGGGGCAGAAGGTAGGGTGCACACAGCCAGGACAATTACTGAGCAAGTGGCAAAGCCCCAGGGACATAAGGCCAGGAATTCAGAAGGGTTCTGGAGTGGGGCAGGCCAGCCAGGGTAGTTTGGACTGAGAGAGATGACAGGACCACGCTGACCCCGACAGTGTCTCTTCACCCTGATTTTCTTCTTCAGGTGCGTGAAGACAATTTTTTCTCTTCAGAAGAGGATGGCAAGAATAGGTGAGTAGTGGGGAAGGCCAGGGGCCAGGATGGATTCTGGGCCGAGACCCTCCTGGCCCATCTGCTCCCCTCTTTGCCTCAGGGAACGCCCTGTGTATGGCCGGGACAGTGCCTACCACAGCATCGCACACTATCGCCCTGTTTCCAACATCACCAGAAGCTCTCTGGGCATGTCCTATTATCCCACCACCTCCTCCACCTCTTCCATGTCCTCAACTTCATCTTCTCCCCCCTCGTGGCTTGCCCGCCGAGCCATCCGGCCAGAAAAGCAGGCCCCTGGGGCTGGTCTGGGCCCGGACCGCCAGGTCCCACTCTGGGGCCAGCTGATCCTTTTTGTGGTGTTTGCTGCCTTCCTGCTCTTGGTTTACTACTCCATGCAGGCTGAGGACAGCAACCCCTTCTAAGGAAACACCTGAGGGTCCAGCTGGCTTTGTGGCCAGCTGCTCGTGGAAGTGCTGGCCAACTGCCTTAGCAGTATTTGTTGGGGGGAGGGGGGTGGGGGGCTTTTCGTGTGTGTTCTAGCTTGTGGGTGCCTTGTCCTACCTTGTCCTGCCTTGGAGGCAGCAGACCTGGGCTCTCTGCAGCATGGTGGGCCTGGGCTGACCTTCCTCCTGACCCCGCTTGCCTCTGACCCTTTAGGGCCCAGGAGGGCAAGACCCTTCTCCTGAAGAGGAGAACATAGTTGTTGTCATTGCATGCCTCCTGTTGTTGTCACCTTGTTGGGGGATTAACCAAAGGCCACCCTGACTTCTGTTTTCGTGGACACACAATAAAAAGACAGTTTATTTTTAACGTGTGGGCTCTTCTTGCTGGGGAAGGGGTTGGGCTCCTCTGCCTGGGGCCTCTACCCTGGGTCTCAAAGATCCCCACCTGGCTTTGTTGACTCTCCTTCTTTGCTTTGGGCACATTCTACCCACAGACACATTTGTGCTTCGCTTGTGGGGTCTACTCCCAGACCTCTTGTAACTACTTACGAAAATAACTGCAGCACCATAGGTTTTGGAAAGCCCAGCTGGAAATGCAGGTGAGGCTGCACGCACAATGCTGGCTGCAGGTGCTTTAACCAGGAAGAGCTGATGCTGACCTTGGTGTCTAAGGGGCAGCATGTGTTTGGTGGGCCTCTTCTGGAAAGTGGCTTGTTTAGTGACACGGGGAAGTCATCATCTGAGATGGCCCGCCATCTCTGGGTAATCCGATTCTTCAACTGACTATTCTTATTTATCTCCAGGTTTTCTGCCGTGGGTATTTAATCATCCTCAATATTTACACATATTTATAACAGTGGGTACTGAGGGAACCCAGAGTAGAATGGCATGTGAGGCTGTGCATCCTGTTGGTGCACTGCCAGCACAAGTTGGGAAAGCACATAGGCGTGTGCTCCATGCAGGCAGGTGGGAAGCAGAGGTGAGGCCAGGCTTCCAGGACAGGTGGGGCCCTGACATCACACTGTCTCACCTCTGACCAGCCCCTGGCTACAGGTAGTAGGACTCAGCAGGTGCTAGCCTCTCACTGGACACAGTGCCCATAAAGTACCCATGGGCTCCTGAGCCTTCGAGGCTCTCGACTGGCTATGGCCACACAGCAAGCTCAGGTCAGGGCTGGGACTGGGACCCACCTACCCCCAGCTCCTGGCCATTTCTCTTTGCTGTATCCTAGTCTCTCCCCACATTTTTAAAGAATATACTTTTATTGGTTTCAAAGACGAAGGGAGAGAGAGAGAGAAACATCAATGATGAGAGAGAATCATTGATCAGCTGCCTCCTGCGGGCCTCACACGGGATCGAGCCCACAACCTGGGGATGTGCCCTGACCGGGAATCAAACCATGACTTCCTGGTTCATAGATTGATGCTCAACCACTGAGCCATGCCAGCTGGACTCTCTCCACATTTTTTGTGTTTTCTTAAAAGTAACACATGCTTTTTGTGCAATTAAAATATACAAAAGAATGAAAGAAATGAATTGCTTCTATTTTTCTCACCACTCCCACAGCTGCAGCCTCCCTTGTTTGCTGCAAGCCACTCCCACCTGGCTCATCCCCAAGTGCACAGACACCTGTGGCACTCCCCAGACTTCAGACTCTGCCCCTCGCCATCCTAGTGCAAGGGTTAAACCTGGATGCTCTATGAGTGGAGTGGTGGTAGGCAGGGGCAGGGAATGCTGCCTCATCACTGACAATAAGGCCTGATGGTCAGATCAATGAGCCTGTAAGAGGGGGAGGGGCAGAATAAGTGCACCAGGACCCCAGAGGGCCACAGTGACAGCTTGTTTCAGCAACTGATCCCAAATCAAGTATATTAGGAGGGACCCCCCCACAAGCACTGCCTGGGGCTGCTGTTGCGCTGGAAAGGTATGTGGAGCCTAGCGAACCCCATGTGGGGCCTGGGGAAGGGCAAGGTTGATGAGTCAAAGCTGCGGTGGAGAAAAGGGACAGCATGAGGAAGGGGAGCTGGGCTGGGGGCATCCCAAGGAAGGGAAGAGAGATGGCATGGCTTCTGGGTAGAATGGCTCCAAGTCTCTGGTCCTCCATCTGTTTCAGGAAAGACAGGGAGGCTAGGTAGGTGTGCTGGGAAACCACTGTGGTGTCTGACATGAGAAAAGAGGCAACACCCACATGACATAGTCTCCCCCTTCTCATTCATTTATTCCCATGGCCAACCATATGCATTTAGCACCATGTGCAGATGGAGGATTGCTAAGGGGCTTCCAGCCTCCTGCCCCGGGGCTCTGAGGACACTCCCATCCCAAGGAGTTCTGATAGCTCCTGAGGAGGTTGGATCCCCATCCCAGGACTCCCCCTTGGGCTTGGCTCACTCCCCAGGGCATCATGGGATCCTGAGTGCTCTTACACCCCTCCGGTGGTCCCCAGGGCTCTCCATGCCGAACCCCTAGAGCTCTGGAGGCCCATAAGGGCACCTGAGTGCTCCCTAGTGCTCTGGGCACCACAACCCAAAGGTTTTTGAGTGCTTCCTTGGGCCCCAAGGGAACCCCAGGCTTGAAGGTCTCCACCTAGTATTTGCCAGGGCTGGGACTACTTCCCTTCCTTGAGAACTCCAAGGGGACTCACTTCCCAAAAGCCCCCTAGGGCTCTGGGGTTCCCCCTGTACAGCAACTGAGGGTTCCAGTATTCATACTGCATGACTCAGGCCTCTGATCCACTCCCCTCTTCCCGCCCAAGGGCACCAGCAGGGCTGAGGACACAGCAGGGGGCAGCAGTCACCTACGGTCCAGCAGACCATGTCTCTGCTTCCACTGGGGGTACCACCTGAGCCGGGTCCTGTTGGGGCCTTGGGCAGGACATCGTGGGCAGGGCAGGTGGCTGTGGGAGGAGCTGGATGCACCCTGAGGGTGGGAGGTTGAGAGAGGAGTGCCCTGGTGGTGGGGCAAAGGGTGGAGCCCAGAAGCACCACTCCTGATCTCCCCCATGAACCTGGCCTCCCTGAGAAGGTCCAGGTGTGCCCTTGCCTTGACCCCCATGCTGCATAATAGCCAGCTGTTGAGCTGGAGAATGCGCCTACTGAGTCATGTGGGATCCAGCACCAAGCAGGCAGCCTTCAAGACAACACAATGGATGCACATCCTGCAGCTCCATGAGGAAGGACTGGCGGGGGCTCTGAGGGTCTTAAAGGACTGGAAAGTGGCTCTGGACCCTCGCTGTTACTGCCCCTGGGGCTGGACTGCTGCCCTAGGCTCTGGGTGTCCAGTCTCCACAGGAAGCTCTGCCCCAGGGGACGCTGGACACGCCTGAATAAAGTTGGGCCCCACCCCCTGGCCCCCCACTTCTCTCTCCCACTGTCCTCAAAGGCAGGTGTATTCTGGAGGCTTCTAGAAGCTACCCAGGTGGAGAGGGAACAGGAGGAGGCAGACCCCGGCCCACAGAGGTGCAGCACCAGCGGGGGAACAGCGATCCCCCCAAGGAACCCCTTCTCCCCTCGGCCCAGTGGACACCCAGGACTCTGCACACACAGCACACACCTCCCTTGCCTGAGGTACCAGAGCCTCCTGCCTCCTCCTAGGCTGGCCCCTCCAAGAGGAGACAGTCCTGCCCCCATCCTCTCCCAATGCCTGCCAGGTGGGCCCCGACGGAGATGGGTCCCAGCCACCAGGAGCCCTGTCCCCTCCCCAGAGGCCATGTCACACCCAGACAGCGGTGACATGTGTGGCAGCAACGATGGAAAATGCCAACCTGGAGGGAACAGGCCCCGGGGACCACCCGGGACTGAGTCTGCAGGACACAGCAGACCTGAGCCTGAGCCTTGCCGGCACGGGCAGGAGGGGCCCCAGTGGGGGGCCAGCAGCTGGCACCAGGAAAGAGAGAGCCACCAGGACCCCAGGCTGCCAGGGGCAAATGGCCTGGGACCCGGCTGATCCACGGAGCAAATCCCAGACGACATCCAGGCTGCTGGGAGGACACAGGGAGGGGCAAGGCCCAGGCCAGGAGCCAGGGTCACACACTGGGTGTGGAGGCCTGGCCACCCGCCCAGAGCCTACAGGGTGGTCAACCAGCCCCACCAGGCCCCACGCCCGAGCCCTGCTCGCCAGGAGGGGCCAGGAGCAGAGGGGAGGACCCGGCCACATGCCTTCCCAGGTTCCCCCACCTCACCTACTAAGTGGGGGAGGAGATGGCTGGTCACCCTACTGGGAGCACCTGGCCCCGCCCCGCAGGCCCTGTCTGCCCCAGTCCAGGCCGGGCAGGGCAGGGGGAGGGCTGAGCTGACCCCCACCCCACAGTCAGCCTCCACCCCCGACCCAGCCACACCTCTGCACCTGACCCTCCCTGCTGCCCATCCCCGCAGGAGGCTGGGGGCCCAGGTGGAGAAAGGGGAGCACTGGGCCCTCAGGGTAGGGCTGCCACCCCCTGCCCCCGACAGTGAGGGAGTCCAGCCTGTCAACAAGGGGAACATTAGTCTGGGGACCCTAGGGGTTCCCGCAGGGACCCCAGGACGGGCAGCCTCGCCCCGTCCAGGGCATGGGGCCACGGTGTTGCGGGGCAGCCCCCTGGGAACCTGGAGGGAGCCAGTAGCCCAGGAGGGCGGACACCAAGTCAGGGCCGCGAGCATGCGCGGTGCTGGTGCTGAGCTGGGGCCCTCGGGTGCACTCAGTGGCTCAGGACGTTCTCATCCCAGTCCAGGGCCCGGGCCATCCCGGCGGCAGTCAGGCCCCCAGAGGCAGGGACAGTCATGCACACAGAGTCCTCCTCAGGCCCAAGGCGTCCCCAGGGAGGGCGTTCCCTGCAGGAGGACACTGAGCCGCTCAGAGGTCAGGCGGAGGCGGCGGCCACCTCCGTGACCAGCATGGGGTCAGGGCAGGTCTCCAGGGCCCAGCGAGACCGCAGCCAGGGCTGCAGGGTGAGGACATCGCTGAGCAGCGGGCGGGGCAGAGGCCACCCTGGGGTCAGCACAGCTGCTGGAGATGGGGGCACAGACATCCGTGCTCCTGGGTAAGGACCCGGGTCCTCGGGCAGAGAGGGTGAGGCCACAGTGGTCACTGAGGGCAGATGGGGACAGGGTCAGGGCAGGGGCTGTGAGTGTGCCCATCCTCAGGGCAGGCCACTAGGAGGAGCTCCCCAGGAAAGGGGCCCTGCAGCAGGGGGGTGGGGGGAGAGGCCCCAGTGGCCGCCCAGCACCGCCCAGCCCTCCACAGCTTCCTGGCCAGGCGGCCCAGGGCAGACCGCAGGGCAGCGCCCTCCTCACTGTGGCTCCTGCCCAGGGACCAGGAAGGGGAAGGGGGCTCAGCACGGGCACAGGTGGGGACAGTGTGTCAGAGGTCAGATGGCCCAGGAGCAAGGGCTGCACCAGGCCTGGGCACCTCCAGGCAGCCCCGCAGCCTGTGCCCCTAACCCTGGCTGACTGTCCCCAGGAGTCAGGGCCAGGATCCCTGAGGCGAGGCCCGCCAGCGGCACCTGCTGCTCCCGGAAAGCAGAGCCCGGCTCCCCAGAACCTCGCTGTCCTGGGTTCAAGAAACCCACAGCACCTGGGACGGTGCCAGGAGCTGGCACCAAGGGCTCGGTGTTGCCCAGCAGCGAGAGCCAACAAGAAAAGCACTCACCGCCCACAGAACCTGTGTGACAAATTCAGAGCCAGCAAATGCGTCACTGGGAAGTCACCTCTGGGCCCCTGCCAGGAACGATGGGGCTGGGGCGGGCACGTCTCCAGGGAAACGAGATGCAAAGGGCCTCCTTCAGCCACAGTGGGAGCTCCTTCCTCAACAACTGCCCCCGACCCCCCAGGCTGGCGCCTGCCACCCTCACCCCCCAACCCGCCAGAACCCAGCCCAGGGCTACCTGACCCCCTCCTTGAAGAAAAGGGGCTCCTGGGCCTGCCCCTCCCCAATGCCGCCTGCACCTCTCCACTCCCTGCCCCCACCCTTCAGGCTGCACGGAGGAAGGCTGGAGGGACAGCAGGGGGCAGGGGAATGACCTCGCTGTGTGCAGCCAGAGGTCACCCCTGCCTTAGGCAGGGCAGCTGCCCCTGCCCCAGTCCCTGCCCCTGGGGACGGAAAAGAAATGGAGGCAAGACTGAGCCAGTGTGTGGGGACACGGGAGGTCAGGGACATCCTGTGGCCCAGCCTGGATGGGGACTGACAGGGCGCTGACCAGCGCTGCTGTGATGAGGAAGGGCTTCCTGCCCTGTGCCCAGAGCCGCTCCAGGGCCTGGGACCGCCATCAGGGCTGCCAACCCCCCATCGACGGGCAGAGAGCACACACCGTGGGCACACGGGGGCTCTGAGGCACATTCTTATCTCTTTCTCTGTGTGTGTTTCCTTTACAGCCCTTTGAAGACCAAGAGCCCCCCTGCCCTGCGAGCACAGGCCCTGCCTCGCTTGGTCCCGGGGCTAGAACTGGCCACCCTCCCAGAGACAAAGGACACGTTCTTGAGGGGCCTGTTCTGTGCGGGGCCAGGAGTCCTCACGCCGGGGCCCCCAGGTTCAGGAGCAAGACCGTTCTTCGCAGCAGCCTTCTCATTTGCTGTGAACAGAACACCCTTCAGCCCAGTCGCCCCCTGCAGCCCTGCTCCAGCGTTGACCTGTGTGACCCATAAAAATACGGCAGAGGTGAGGGGATGTCACTTACAGATCCAGTGAGAAGAAGACTGTGTCTTCCGTCTTGGGCCGCTCACCCCTCTCCTCCGGTCCTGGGGAAGCCCTGCCTGAGCAGCCGGGTGGCCAGGCCCTGTGGGGAGGCACCGAGACCCCTGTCACCGTCGTCTGAGTGATCTTGGAGGCAGAGCCTTTCCCACCAGGGAGGTGCGAGGCTGCAGCTCAGCTGGTGCCTGGACTGCAGCTGGGACAGACCCGGAGCCAGAACCCCCAGCCAGGCCCTTGGGCGTCCTGTCCTTCAGGCACTTGGGAGATCACGTGTGAGTCGCATCAGGGCGCTATGATTGGGGCCATTTGTTACGCAGCAACAGGGAACTAATACACAACTTTACATGCAGACGGGGACTCAAAGTAATTCTGAAGCAAACACAGCGACAAGAAGCCCCAGAAGCCATTAGGAAAAGCCTGGGAAGTCTGATGGCATGAAAACTAGTCGTCTGCCTGGCCAAACACAAACCCCAAACCACAAAGTCAAGAGACAAGTGACAAAGTGAGGGAAAATAGTGATAAGATGTGACTCAGGGCTCCTATCATTAACGCAGAGAGAGCTTGACCCGGGCACAGGGCACAGCCGGACAACCCAGAGGAAGAGGGGGTGCAGGAGGGGAAACGTGGAAAACGAAAGCCTAAGGTTACTCCACCCTCTGTTCCCCCAGCCAGAGTACGCTCAGGTGCTGGGCTCTGAGGGGCAGACGGCGGCCAGTGACCGGCAATGCACGTCGCCTGCCGCTCCAACGAGATGACAGGCCACCGTGGCGCCGAATAAGACCGGCCTCTGCCCCCTGCCACGACTGGCCGAGGAAGGAGGGTGCTGCTGGGCACTGGCCCCAGGAGCTGGGAGACCCTCCTGGGAGGGGCATTGGGCAGGAAAGGTGGAGGCTTCCCCCAGCTAGAGGGCCGGCCACACCCCAGCCCTGACAGCTGTCAGGGAAGTTCCCGGGCAGAAAACCACTTCTGGCCTCTATGTGCCCCACATCCACCTTCTTGCTCTCTGGGCCCAGGTTCCTCTCCCATCTCCGAACTCGGGGTTTGGGTCTTCCCTCTGCCTCCTCAGAGGGTCTGTCCAGCCCCACCCAGGCCCCCGTCTGATCTGTCTCCGACATGCCCAGATGCTGTTATCAAACCTGGGAGTCGCTGAGCACCTGCACACAGACCCCTTTCCCCAACTGGGCTGTGCACGGTGCCCTGCAGCCCTCCCAGGCAGGAAGGGTGATGCTGCTACAGAAGGCCCTGGTCCCTGAGGGCTGGCAGCCTCCTAGCATCTCCCCGCCTGTGGGGACCATCCAAGGAACCAGCCCCACATGGGGCAGGGGCACACACCTAGGGGCTGCAGGCCTGCGAGACGTGCTCCTCACAGCGGGACCCCTGGACCAGCAGCAGCAGCAGCAGCAGCACAGGGAGAGCGTGAGAGGCGCCGATTCGTGGGGCAGGGGCACACACCTAGGGGCTGCAGGCCTGTGAGACGTGCTCCTCACAGCGGGATCCCTGGACCAGCAGCAGCACAGGGAGAGCGTGAGAGGCGCCGATTCTCAGGCCCCAGTCAGATCTGCAACATCAGAGACTGCGGGGAGGGGGCAGGCCAGTGACTGGGTGTGAACAGCCCTCCAGGGGCTGCCACGCACCTGCACCCCACCCCCTGCCCCCCCCACCTCCGTGAGCACCACCAGGACGGATGTTCCTGATCACACCTCCTTCTAGAGAAGCCGCCAGCTCTCTGCAGGGCTCCCCTTGGCCTGTCCAGGTGCGCGGCAGGCGGGCACAGCTGGTGGCCGCAGTCGGGGGCTCCTGGGGAACAGCAGGCCCGTCTGGCAGGACTCGCTCCCGCAGGGCCCCCCTGCCAAGGTCCAGGGAGGACGGTTCCTTCCTGCCTCACCTCCAGGCCGCGGACATCCAGTCCCTCTGGCAGACGGCACCTTCCCCGTGACTGGCCTCAACTCAGTCCCCCTCTCCCTGGATACAGGCTCCTGTGTGGTTTTGTTTGTCATCCATGCTTTACAGGAACTGTCTCACCCTGACCGGTTTGGCTCAGTGGATAGAGCGTCGTCCATGCTTTACAGGAACTGTCTCGATACACTCGGGAGGCGCTGGAACACAGTGGGCCCGGAAATGAGTGTGTATGTGATTGTGTGCGGGGGGAGTGGGCGGTGGGAGGTAGGGGGATACTTTTGGGGCCGTGGGAGGGTGGTAGCTCCCATGAGCTCTCAGCAAGGCCACTCTCATTGGCCAGGACTGGGCGGGGCAGGAGATAGAGTGACCCTGCCGTCGGAGTGGGGTCGCCGCCCTCCTTTCCTCCTCACCAGTCCCCTCCGGACCCCAGTACACTGTCCCCGGTCATTGGAGGGGGGGGGGCTTGGCTCGGTCATGAAGGTGGGGCAAGTCCGTTTGGGATCTGGGGGCGGGCCGCCTGACTGAGACCCCAGAATCTCCCGGGGCCTGGACTCGGTGGTGGCGTTTCTCTAGGGGGGGAGGTCGAGATCCCCGGGTCCAGGGAACGGGGACTATCGCTAATTCAGGGTGTGTGGGGGGCGGGGAGGAATGGCGGAGACGAGGCGCCTTTCCATTGTCTTACGGCGTCATCAGCCCGCCAACAGGAAGTACCGCCTTTCTTCACACGCCATCTGGCTGGCTCCACCAATAAATACGCTTGGCTCGTGACAAGACCCGCCCCCAGCCCACCCTACGTAGCTCAGCCCCTCGGTCCTGACGGACAGTTCTTCTGCCCAATCAAAGCCAGCCGTTCTCCTTCCCTCCTCTTGGCTTAATGTTTGTTAGCCTCTTTCTTCTTGTTGGGGCTGAGCTGTCTGTGGACTGGGGGCTAAGTCGGTTCCAATGTGGGAAAGCAGGGACTTTCCATGCAGAGCCGCGAGAATCGTCTTGTTTGTACACTGTATGCCCTGCTTGCGTTGTTTTGATGTGAACTTATATTTTGAGGTAATTAAATGGACAGGAAGTTCCATAGAAACGTCCCAGAGGTATGGGCCCCTCCCGCAGTTCCCTAGTGTCCGCATCCTTTGCACTTAGTACAGTCGCACACCAGGAAATGGCACTGGTGCCAGCCGAGAGCTGCTCGGGAAAAACTTTTTTGTTTTTTTAAAAAAAGAAACTGTCTCGATACACTCGGAAGGCACTCGAACACAGTGGGCCCGGAAATGAGTGTGTATATGATTGCGTGCGGGGAAGTGGGCGGTGGGGGTTTGGTAGGGTACATTTGGGGCCCTGGGAGGATGGAAGCTCCCAAGAGCTCAGAGCAAGGCCATTGTCATTGGCCAGGACTGGGCGGGGCCGGAGACAGAGTGACCCAGCCCTTTGTCATCTGGGTGGGGACGCCGCCCTCCTTTCCCGCTCACTAGTCCCCTCCGGACCCCAGTACACTGTCTCTGGCCATCGGGAGGGCCAGGCACCCTCAGGAAGGTGGGGGAAGTCCTGCGGGGAGCCGGGGATGGCCGCCCGACTGAGATCTCAGAATCTCCCGAGGCCTGGACTCAGTCGTTTCTTCTTTCTGGGGTAAGGGTAGACATCCTCAGGACTCTGGCCCAGCCCAGCACCCGGAGGGCGGGAAGACAGAGACTGGTGACCAGGGCGTGGTCCTCGCGCGTGGGGCCCCGCCCTGAGCGCGTCTGCGGTCTTCTCAAATCATCTCAGCACGCCACCGGAAACTCCGCCCCATAGGTAGCTGAGCTCTGCTTTCCTGCCTCCTTTTCCGGAAAGATTAGCCAATGAAAAAGCGCGTCTTCTGACAAGACCCGCCCTCAGACCGTCAAAGGAAGCTGACAGACACTTCTTTGACCAATCAAAGCTAGGCGTTCTCTAGGGACGCCCCTCTAGGCTCCGCCTTCGGGAGCGCTTGTCTTGGGCGTGGGCCGGGCCAGCTCTGAACAGTGGGGACCTAGAGATCCCGCGGGGACTGCAGCGACTCTCCACGCAGAGCTGCGGGAGTCGCCCTGTCTGTACGCTAGTCTGCTTGTGTACTTTTGGTGTGATCATGTATTTTGAAGTAATTAAGTTCACAGGAAGTTACATAGAAATATTTAAGATGCCGGGCCCCTCCCGCAGTTCCCTAGTGTCCACATCCTTTGCACTTAGTACAGTCGCACGCCAGGAAATGGCACTGGTGCCAGCCGAGAGCTGCTCGGGGTTACTCCCGTGTGTGTGCGCACGCGGACACACGCATAGCGCGGTGCACTTTCATCACGTGTAGATTCAAGTGGCCGCCACTGCCATCAGTGTCCAGCCTGTTCCCGCACAGGGATCCCTCCGGTTGACCTTTCCTAGCCACAGCCTCTCCCCTCCTCCCGCCAACCCACGCAACCATTATTCTATTTTCTTTCTTCTTTTTTAAAAAATATTTTTTATTGATTTTTTTTTTACAGGGAGGGAGAGGGATAGAAACATCCATGAGAGGAAACATCGATCAGTTGCCTCATGCACGCCCCCTACTGGTGATCGAACCTGCAACCAAGGTACATGCCCTCGACCAGAATCGAACCCAGGACTTTTCAGTCCACGGCCCCAGGCTCTATCCACTGAGCCAAACCGCTCAGGGCCAGTATTCTATTCTTATCCCTGCAGTTTTGTCATTTGCAGGCCGTTACATAAGGAAGTATGCAGTGTGTAACGGGCTGAGCCCTTTTCCACTGGCGCGGTGCCCTGGAGGTCCGGCCTCGCTGTTGCATGTATTATAGTTTTTCCTTTGTGTTGCTGGCTGTAGTCCTCGGTGTGGATCATCCACTGTTCCTTCCAGCATTCACCCCCTGAGGGAGGCGTTGCTTGTTCCCAGTCTTTGGCTTCTACAAACAACCCGCTATGAACATTGGAGCACAGGTTTTCCTGTGATTACAAGTTTCCATTTCTTTGGCCAAGTGCCCAAGCGTGCAATGGCTGGGTCCTGTGGAGATGGATGTTTAGCTTTAAAAGAAACAGCTGAGCCCTGGCTTGTTTGGCTCAGTGGCTAGAGCGTCAGCCTGTGGACCGAAGGGTCCTGGGTTCGATTCTGGTCAAGGGCACATGCCCTAGTTGCAGGCTCCATCCCATTAGGGGCGTGCAGGCGGCAGCCGATCGATGATTCTTTCTCATCATTGATGTTTCTCCCTGTCTTTACCTCTCTCTTTCTCTCTGAAATCAATAAAAATGTTTAAAAAAAAAGAAACAGCTCAGTTGCCTTCCACAGTGGTTATAGCGTTTTACATTACCACCCTGCACACTTTTAAAGTACATAATTGGTGGGTTTCTTTTTTTTACAGAACAACATAAATTTAAGCAAGATTGTTAATAATTTTTGTTTCTCATCTAACTACAATTTTCTTCTTTTTTAAATAAAAAAAAATCTAGATATTCCAGGCTGTGGGATAGTAGACAAATAGACTGTATGTTCTAATCTTAACATAAAACCAATCATTGCCTTCTGGCCCATTTCCTAAGGCGGAGGGAGGAGGGCTCCTGAGGTGTAAGGGCTCTAAGCTCTCTGAAGGCCGGTGGGAAGACAAGACCTTATTTTTTAAAATGTATTTTTATTGATTTCAGAGAGGAAGGGAGAGGGAGAGAGAGAGAGATAGAAACATTAATGCTGAGAGAGAATCATTGACTAGCTGCCTCCTGCACGCCCCCTACTGGGGATCGAGCCCACAACCTGGGCATGTGCCCTTGACTGGAATTGAACCTGGGACCCTTCAGTCCACAGTCCAACGTTTTATCCGCTGAGCCAAACCAGCTAGAGCAAGACCTTTAAAAGAAGAAGAAGAAGAAGAAGAAGAAGAAGAAGAAGAAGAAGAAGAAGAAGAAGAAGAAGAAGAAGAAGAAGAAGAAGAAGAAGAAGAAGAAGAAGAAGAAGAAGAAGAAGAAGAAGAAGAAGAAGAAGAAGAAGAAGAAGAAGAAGAAGAAGAAGAAGAAGAAGAAGAAGAAGAAGAAGAAGAAGAAGAAGAAGAAGAAGAAGAAGAAGAAGAAGAAGAAGAAGAAGAAGAAGAAGAAGAAGAAGAAGAAGAAGAAGAAGAAGAAGAAGAAGAAGAAGAAGAAGAAGAAGAAGAAGAAGAAGAAGAAGAAGAAGAAGAAGAAGAAGAAGAAGAAGAAGAAGAAGAAGAAGAAGAAGAAGAAGAAGAAGAAGAAGAAGAAGAAGAAGAAGAAGAAGAAGAAGAAGAAGAAGAAGAAGAAGAAGAAGAAGAAGAAGAAGAAGAAGAAGAAGAAGAAGAAGAAGAAGAAGAAGAAGAAGAAGAAGAAGAAGAAGAAGAAGAAGAAGAAGAAGAAGAAGAAGAAGAAGAAGAAGAAGAAGAAGAAGAAGAAGAAGAAGAAGAAGAAGAAGAAGAAGAAGAAGAAGAAGAAGAAGAAGAAGAAGAAGAAGAAGAAGAAGAAGAAGAAGAAGAAGAAGAAGAAGAAAGGAGGAGGAGGAGGAGGAGGAAGAAGAAGAGGAA